GAGATCTTGTTTCAAAACAGAAATAAAAAAAGAGGGCTGGGGTTGTAGCTAAATTGTAGACCTTACCTAACGTGCACAAGGCCTTGGGTTCAGTCCCCAGTACTGCCCCCAAGTAAACAAATAAATAATTAATACCTCCATATTGGCTAAGTAGAATTGTGGTTACGTATTTAGCAATTAGGTATGCATAAGGCATCCATTAACAAAACACAGGGGCTGAACAGAATCAAGAGCCTCGGTGGTAAGCATTAACATCTATCAGCAAGCATATCTCTGTTTTTCATTCTTTTCTCATGGCATGGTGACAGGTTTCTTGGACAGGAAAGAATTCTTAAAGAGCTCTTGGCACACAGTAGGTGAGGAGTCGCAGCAGCCTTGCCAGCACTGCGCTCGAGGCACCTACCCTGAAAGGCTGGTCTGGGATGAACGGGAAGTAAGGGATGGCTGACTGTTCTTCACCCCTTTCTCCTGAGATACAGGAGTTTCTGAGGAGCTGCCTGTCCGTGAACACAGCTTTGAGTTCGATCGCCACATCGGCAGGAGGATCTTCCGAGTCACCGCAGGTCAAGCTGATGGCAAAGCTAAAAAGAAAACAGTGTCACTGAGCTGGAGTTAGATGCAACATTTTAACTTGACCCAGTTCCTCCTCCTCTGGGTTCACGGAGTTTAAACACAGAGAAGGTTACACTCAAACCAATGGATTTTGTTACCTAGAGCAGGCTCCGGAGAAGACTTTGGTGTAACTGAAAATAACTGCAACCGAAGACTTCCAATGTCCCAGGCCACCACCCAATGCCTCAATCCAAAAGTTGACAAGGGAAATAGCTTGTAAAGTTTGGTTCTTATTTATCCTAATAGCTTTTACAATGTTTCAAAACCATAAAAAAGAAAAAGGAGTCTTTTGGCCTCCTCAAGGGTCAAAGAGGAACTGTGGGCCTATTTTTGTCATCGCTGATATAAATAGCCATCTGGAGAGATGATGGCTAGGATTCATACACATTCTTTTCATGGGAACATGGTACTTTCTTGGTACTCCTAAGTAGCAACCCTGCCTACAAGAGGAGAAGGAGGAGGAGCAGGAGGAGGAGGAGGAGGGAGAGGAGGAGGAGGAGGAGGGAGAGGAGGAGGAGGAGGAGGAAGAGCAGGAGGCCACAGCTCAGCAGCTGCAGGGCTCTGCCCTTACCTTTCTGGGTTGAGGTCTACGATGCCCATCACTAATACCTTCTTGCCTGGCCGCATGCCACCTTTAATGTGCCCACAAAAAGGAACTATCTGCAAAGGAGGAGGGCAATAACAGGAAGTTTACAGGCTGTCAGAGACTAGCCAAACCCTCGCCCCCCCCCCCAGGACCTGACCCATCAGAAAGCTAGGAAAACGCATCAGAAAGGAAGGCGCCGAGCACATTGATTTACCAGTCGTGGGAAGTACACGTCGGCTTGAACCGGAGAACCCAGGGAGTTGTTTAAGTGCCCATCATCAAGTTTCTAAAAATAGAAGCACACAGATTGGCTTTCCGCTGACCCTCGCTTGTTATAGGGGGAGTGAGCGGGAGGGCGAGGAACCCACACGAGCCTGTGGGAATCCAGCAGCCCTCCACAGACACACAGGCAGAGTCTGCCCGGGACGCCTCTTTGCAGCTCCTTAAATAACCGCGAAACAAAAACCCGGGCCTTTCCCCTTGTGTCTAATCCCCTGATGATCCCCCCAGACTCGCGGGCCGGATCAGACTCAAGGTCGCGCGCGCACAGCCGGCGTGGGTGGGCTGCGGGCCCCTCTCCGAGCACCGGTGCTCCCGGAACCCCCGTCCCCAGGCCCGTCCGCGGGGACCTCCCCGGCCGCGGGGGCCCGCGCCCCGCACCCCGCACCAGCCCACGTGCACGCACACGCGCCCGGGCGCGCACCTGGCCGGCGCCCGGAGCTCCCACCCCGCGGCCCCCGGGCGCCCCGCGCTCCGCCCCGGCGGCGGCGGCTGACAGGTAGCGCGCTTCCCGCGGCGCCGCCGCCGCCGCCGGTGCCGTCGCCCTCGCCCCGGCCGGGCCCGCCGAGTCTCCCTCCCCGCCGGCGGCGGCCGCGGGCACTCACCATCGCGGCGTCGCTGTCGGCCACCGACCCCGCCATGTTCCTGCAGCGAGCCAGCGGCGGCGGCGGCGGGCGCGGGTCCGAGCCGGGCGCGCGCTCTCACGCGGGGGCGCGCGCGCGCACACGGCTGCGGGCCCCTGAGGGGAGGGGGAGGGGAAGGGGGAGGGGAAGCGGGCGGCGCGGAGGTCGCGGCGGCGGCGGCCGAGAGAGGACGGTGGCGAGGGCCGCGGTGCGTCGGTCCGGGGTGGCATTTAAAGGCGGCAGGGCCCGGCTCCGGGACCGGGGCACCGGGAACAGGGCGGGGACGCGGCCCGGGCGCCGCGGCTCGCTCAGCGTGCCCTGCCCCGCGGCCATTGGACCGCGGCTGGAGGCCGGGGAGGGAGGTGGCTGCTTGGCGAGAAGGTGGGTGGGGCTGGGAGGGGGGGCGGGGAGGGCCCAGGTGGGCCAGGTGACAGGTGCTGGGGACACCCCTGACCCCTCCTGGCCCGGAGCCCAGCCACTCACCTCCTCCTCCCGCATCCTGGGGGCCGGAGGGAGGGTGGGGAGAGAGGTCCTGGAAGATGGGGACTCCAGAGTGGGAAACCCCAGCGTGGCTTCTCTCAAAGAATTCCAACCGGGCGGGAGGAATGGTTGGCTTCTCTGTCGCGAGGAGAGAGAATGGAAGGTCCCAGGCTTGCAGAGACAGTGGACCCCACAGAAAGCAGCAGCCGGGACTGCAGGGAGGGAGTTCACAGAATCCGGACCAGGGCTTTCTTCCCCAGCGAAGCGCAGGCCCGTGTCGGGGTCCTAGAAGCTTCCTAAGGCAGGTGCCTGGCCAGATCTCAGATTAAGCTGGACACGGTCTCCGCTATTTTACTTCAGTTGTTTAGTTTGGGGCAATCAGTTCCTCACCCAGAATCTCCCGACATTCTTTGTGGAATACTTCCCAGGGAATCCACTTCTCTTTCATTGTAAGGCTCGGACTCTTTTATGGTATCCCACGCTAGTATTATTATATAACTTCTCAGATAAGGCTGCATCAACACGCCCTCTATTAGGTGACATCCTCGGCTTACCCTGTGCACTGTGTGGATCGCCACACCAACAAGCAAGGGCCTTGAGTGAGTTGCTACTGTCCGGAAGGGGTCGTCTGTGGGGCCTGGCATCTCTGAGACTTTTCTTTTGTATTTGGGCTTTACCTTTCCATACCAGCACTAACCATGGTAATCTCTGTGGTGTGGGGAGAATTACCTGAGCATGCCAAGAGCCTTTGTGGGAGCGATTCTCAGAATCACAGGCTGAAGTGTCCTGCTTTGCTCTTGTTTACTAGTCTGAACTAAAAACAAAACACCACACACACCTATTATTCTAAGACATTAGACAATTTTATAGGAAACTTGGTATTTTGAAGTCATGCTTTGATTATCTGAATTTCTCAGTCTAGGGAAAAGCACTGAAGAAATTATTTGCTATTAACTAAGAGTGGTGTAATATGTTGTCGGGATTATAAAGGGCTGGTGCCTGGGTTCAGATGTTGCCTGATAGTAGCATGCTTTCATGTCCTCACCAGAGATGATGATGGTAACTATGGTGATGCCTATCATCAATTACTGGGCAGATTAGTAAACTGGTTCACACACCTTCCCAAGAAGCGCACCCAGCACGCTCTTTAAAGCAAGTCTTGAGAGCCTGTTGCTGACCAGGAACTGAGGATCACACTGTTGAGAAGCTTCCCTAGGTCTCAGGAGCTTCTGCCTCTGAGGCTGTGTGAAGGGTTGGGCGCGGTGCTGCTGAAGGAATGAAAGCGCTCACGTAGAACTCGGGATACGCGGCTTCTCAGCTGAAGAACAACCCTTAGGTTTGTTTGTGAGTGCAGTTTAGGATATTGGGTTGCTGAAGATGCGTTTCTTACGTCTTGAGGGTATAAAGAATTAGCAAGGTGCAGAACTGCCTGGCATGTGTCAACATGGCAAATTGTCTTTTACTAAAAAACCAAAAAGCTTAATTCTCAGCTAGTGTAAATGGTTAATTGTACATAAGAGAGAGCCTAAAAGATTATCTTTGTAACTAAAAACCAAGGGTTGAACAACTTCCTACACAGAAAAGCTACTAATGAATTATTGAACTAAAGCATCCAAATTTTCCTCAGAGTTCCTAGAGTGAAGGATGGCAAACATTTCGCTATGCTTTGGTTACAGGCATTTATATCAAAAAAAAAAAAGATTAACCAAGACTGTGACTTGATTATGAAATGCAACCCGAACTCATGATAAGCAACAGCTCTGCTAGGAACTTCTTTTTAGAAGTTCTAAGGAACGAAAAGTCGAAAGCAGCGCAGTCAGATGTGATCGGTCTCAAAAAGTATGTAAGCAAGACTGAAGATGGACTTCTCAGATTAAAAGCAGGAGCCTGCTTTCTTTGTCTCGTTTGATTCTGTATACTCGCAATCTGCGCTTGCAGATGTCTAATGGTATGGGAGAGTAAAGACTGGCTGTAGTCCGGCCGTCACCTTATCAGTATTGCTGTAAGAAGTGGGACTCAAGAACGGAGATTTTCAACATTCCACCAAGTGTCCCCAACAGGATGGCCAGCCCATCAGAGCCCTGTGGTGTAGCTACAAGCTCAGGATGTCCCCGTTTGCATTCTGTTCAATAGTGCCAGGTTAATTTTGTTATAAAATTGATAAGCTTATGGTGCCTGAATATTTATTAACACTGAAGCCTCTCAAGTTTGTTGTTCCATGACATGATTCCCTCAGACTGGGCTGGGAAGGGAGACCATAGCCCACTCTGAGGAACAGGCCCTGCACAGTGCTGCAAGTCCATTCAGACATTTAGCTCTTTTTTGAGACAGGGTTTCTCTGTGGCTTTGGAGCCTGTTCTGGAACTCGCTCTTGTAGACTAGGCTGGCCTTAAACTCACAGAGATCCACCTGCCGCTGCCTTCTGAGTGCTGGGATTAAAGGCGTGTGCCACCACCGCCTGGCAAGATATTTAGTTCTTAATAATTGTTTTTGTCAATCCAGTCCCTGCTCTTATGAGCAATATTCACACAAAGCAACAAAATACCCAGGCTCAGCACTCTTTGATTTGCCTACTTAGGTAGGAGGGCACATTTATCAAGCAACTTTTCTGTATTTCAAAACATGATTACAGTTTTTAATTATTTTAGGAAGTATAGCCTGGTTATCAAATAGTTCTTTCACACACACACACAGAATTTTCTCATACCCAAACAATTAAGAGACAGCTGTAAAACTTGGCAGTCAACACTGGTTCTGAACATTTCATTAACTTCTGTTATTTATGGGGAAGCTAGACCCAGCCTCCTGCGTGTGTTTAATTACAGAGCACAGAAGGACTGACCTCAGAAAGCCTCCCCGTAAGAAGACAGTCCAGACCCACTCCCTGGAAGAGTGCTGGGCCTCAGGTACCACCGTCCCATGTCCCCTGCCCCCTTCAGGAGCGCTGGCTTCTGTGAAAGGCAACAAATCCTGGCAGAGGAGAGGCGTACCAGCTTCCTGCCCTCAGAGCTGGCTTTGTGAGTGGAGGGTGTTCTGAGACTCCTTGCAGCCAGACTGGTATCTGTTCTGAGACTCAGTGCCACGCACCGGGCCTTCTCTCCAGCTTACCTTCTGGTATTTCTAAGAAACCAGTGCCTTTTCTGATGGCAGTGTGGCAGGTGTGTGCAGCTGGACCCCAAGCCTGATGACACCCTCCTCATTGTTGCTGGACACTTCTGTTCACAGTTGATGGCTTATAGTCATCCCTTTCCTGGTTTCTGTGATTGTGTTTTCTTGTTTGGTGGTATAAAGGGCCTTTTCATTTTGTAGTTTGTGGGAGCTTGCCTGGCTTGGGTGGGTGGAAGAGACACTCTGTCCCTGACCCACAGAAGGGAAGTTAGGAAGCCTCTGCCTGACCCCCAGGAGGGGCAGAGGAAAACATCTAGGTGACACAGATTGCCAGTCTTCTTCAAAGCAGGGGACGGCTTCTACAAGGCACATGGAAGTTTAAACTGGATGTTGACATTTGAGTGTTCATGTGCTTTACATACTAACAGTTCACTGAGCTAGGCTCTGCCTTGGTTGCTATTTTGTTAATGTTTGACTTTCATAAAAAAAGGTCAGGCATGGTGGCACAGGTCTTTCATCCCAGCACTAAGGAGGCAGAGACAGACAGATCTCTGAGTTCAAAGACCAGTCTGGTTGGTCTGTGTAGTGAGTTCCCCAGGCAAGCCAGAGCTACATATTGGGACCACTCCCTGCCCCCAGCAAAGAAACAGCAACACAAAACCCTTAGAGACAAAAGTAAAAACCATGCAGATCTTCACTGAAAGTGTTTAGTTCTGTGTGTTAAGGGTACCACTGTTACCATAATGTTAGGGCTAAGAGCACACATCCCAAAATATGATTAACTGTTCCACCCACAGCGCACCGCTTTGGCGTGTTTTTAGCTGGTTATCCTGAGAATCTGCAGGAATTTTCATCTGAAAGGGAAAGAAAACTGTATTAATACCTGTGTCAGGCAGAGGAATGTCGTGAATGATTTTACACCTGGAGAGGCCACAGAACCAGGCAACCCTACTCACCGCATTTCCTGCCTCCTTCCCCATCACATGCTGTTACCCCTCCCCCAAACCCCTGCTCTCCACAGCTCAGGGTGCTGTATGGGCTTCTGGTATCCACTGTCTCGGTGGTCCTCCTAGTTCTCTGAGACTCTCGTGACTGTGCACGATTAAGCTCCTCTTCACCTGTCTTACGTCAGTTTAGTTCACAGGCAAGAGCTAGGGAGGCAGAGGAAAGCCGTCTTCTGTCCCTACATTCACACACTAGGTTCCGCTTCCGCACCCTGTTGCTTCCATGTGGGAATAGTCACAGTGAGTCTTCCAGCATCTCTGCCAACATGCTGTCTGTAAAAAAAAATGAATTCAGGGCCCAGTTCCAACGTCCCTAATCAGGTAGCCCACTCCCATCGAAGTCCAGCCTGCATTGACTAAACTTGCTACACGCTGTTCATTCTCAGTGCTGGTGGCTCTGCTTGCTCCTGATCCTGAGAACTAGTTGGGACTCTATATCTTAAGGAGGCTTTGGGCTGGGTACCACTTTTCAAGACTGCCTAGAGTAGAAATGGGATGGAGTAAAGGTAGGGGCTATCTTCATCTTTTCTTAAAAGCTTCCTCCCTATTATTACCAAGAGTAAGTAACATTAACTTCACGGGAGGGGGGAACAAAGAGAAGTCACTGTATGTGTCTTGTTTTGAGAAGGGCTCTTACTATGTAGTTCAGGCTGGCCCCAAATTATCATCCCTTCTGCGTCAGCTTCCCATGTGTGAGGATTAAAGATGTGTATGGCCACTCTTGGCTGAATCCCAGAGGTTTTCTGGCAGGGAAACTCCATCATGAGGAGGACAGCTCCCCTTCTTCCTTTGTGTGCTTGTTAGAGGAGCAAGCTTCACTCACGCTCTCCACTCCCCGCTCTCTCACCTTTCTCAGTGAGTAGGCATCTTCTGGACACCATTCTGGAATCTTCTCACTCTCAGTTCTTCCCAGAAAGTCCTGTCCACCCCAGCACAGTGCTTAATAATGTAGTATGGTGGACCTCCCATGAAGGTCCACTTCTCCCCTGGACCAGCTGGCCCATTTCAGCCCTGGCCCTCTGGCCACTTGCCTGTTTCTTCCTCTAGGTCTGGGCTGCCTTTCCTGAGCAGCTGCTGCCTTCACCCCTGGCTTCAGCAGCGAGATCTGGCAGGCAGTTCTCACCTAGTCTGCAAGCAAGAACTGTCACACATTCTGTTTGTATAAACTGCTTCTTTGGGATACAGAAATGGGTGAGTTCTGGTGCCTCAAGAGGCCACATGCTCAATCTTTTCTCTTTGGGTCATGATGCTGTAGATTGCACGGGCAAGAAAACATGTGCCAGCCCCCTCGCCACCAGCATCCTACAGCTAGTAATTATTCTAGAGGAGTGACAGCTGAGGGGTGACCCTGGCTGGTTTATAAGATTAGCTAACACTACAAATGATTCACAGTAAACGGAAGTAAGAAGGGACCAGCCTGTGGGAAGGCAGGTGGGCTGTGTTCCTAAGTAGTGTTTTCTCAGGTCTAGTGTGCATTATAATCTGTAGTATTGCTCATCCCCAGTATTCTAGTAAAAGCGCTATAGGACCACTAAAAGCCCACAGTCATTATGACACTGGAGCATCACCCGGGAATCGGAAGTATATTGTAATTTGGTTTCCTTCATCACTGAAGAGCTTGCTCTTAGCATGACCTTGTGAAAGTAGAAGCTGTGTATTGTCAACTCTGTTAAAGTCACGTGGGGGTTCTCGATACTCAGAACAAAATTGGAATTCCTCTTCAGATTTGGTTTGCCCTTCCAACTTTCCTCAGGCGCCAAGCTCCCCCCTGCTGAGCACTGTCCAGCTGAAAATGGCCTCTCTGGTATTCCTTCCAGGCATTGCCTCTCCAGGGGCTTGACACTTGCCCTCCTCTCCGCCTAGAATGTGCTGCCCCAGGCCTTTTTTCTGGACTTTCATCTTGAAATTTTTCCAATTAAACGTCATCTTTCCTGAGGGACTTTCCCTGACGGAGCCCCCGTCCAGCTCTTCATCTCCTCGGTGTTCAGTGGTCTTACTTATTGGCACCTCAGGGGGGTAAGGAGCTGGCAGGCGGGACGGCTGTGTTGTTGAAATGAATTAGCAAACAAGTGAATGGCTGGACAACGCACGACCAGAGACCCCAGCCCCAGAGTGTGAGACCTGCAGCCCCAGTGCTACAGCCCACACATCCACACCTCGTCCGCAGTCCAGGACTGTTGTTCTCTGTGGGTTGACTCTGCACCGAAGGGTTTTCCCATCCCGAGAAGGCTAATTCTAGATAGCCAAAGTGTCTTTTAACCTAAGCCCATGTTAGGCAGTAGTCAAAATTACAAAAATACTAAACTTTTAACTTATGCCAGAACATACTCCAGAGAGCAGTGAAAAAATTGAATTTGTGTGATCAAAAAAATAGAGAAGATAATGGGGGAAAGTCCCAAATCATGAGCCTAGCAACACATAGCAACAGCCGTATTGGTCGGCAGTATCAGTATGTCATCCTCATGACTGCCTTGGCCTCAGCTGACAGCAAACGTGAGCATCTGCAGAGGCGGAGCGGTGAGGGCCCCGCCTTTTCAGGTGGCTTCTTCTTTTCTGCTGAACAAGAGCACTTGTGTAGTCAGGTGCCTGTTGGGCCAGGTTCGTCTCCAGATGTGCAACAAACGGTGCCACAGGCTGGCTCCTCTGGACGCAGCAGTTGAAGCAGCCTTTGGATGTGGGGTGCTTCCTAGGGATTAACACCTTTGAGGAGAAAGCAGAGTCAGGAGCAGTGAGTCTGCAACAGGCTCGGCGGCAGCAGCCAACCAGGAGCTGGAGGCAAAGGCTGCCTATCAGGGGCCTGCCTGAGCCAAAATGGCCCACTGTTTACACCCCTGGCTCCTAAAGCCCCTTTCCGAATCTGGGACCACCCGGCGATGTGGAGAGCGGGGGGGGGTGTGTGTGTGTGTGTGTGTGCCAACCATCTTCCTGGCAGTTGGGCAGCAAGCCTTCCCAAGAGTAGAATTGGGTAGTGAACCCCTTCTCAAGAAGAAACTATGATCCTCACACAGTTCTACAAGCCGGGCCCTTTATTCCCATTTTACTGACAAGAAAACTGAGATACGGACGCCTGGCTGCATGTGCACATTTGCTTGGGCTGGTCCATTTACCAAGAACGACATCAGAAGGTGATGATTTGGGGTTACCTACTAATTTCAAATACTAAATTGTGCCTGTAAAAAGTCTAAGAGCCAGGAGTAGGCTTTGGGGGCGGTGACTGGGCTTGTGCTGGGTTCTTGTCTTGCAAAGCTTCCCCTCTGGAATTCAGAGCGATGATGAATAGAAGGAAGAAAGGCTATGGGTGAGACTGAGGGAGCCTGGGCTTTGTGAGGTGGGGAGGAGCTGGGCAAAGGAGTCTGAGAGAAAGCAGCTCCGGAGGGAGAGGGGAGGAGGCCAGGAGGGTTCGGCAGGTGCACTGGGAGTCCTGGGCACCTTTAGACTTGTGTGGTGCCCATTGTAATCCGAGAATTTGGGAGGCTGAAGCCTGAGTCAGCCTGGGCCATAGTGAAATTCTGTCTTAAAATGAGAGAGAAGTGGGCTGGAGAGATGGCGCAGTGGTTAAGAGCACTGATTTTCCGTAGGATCCTGGTTTGATTCCCAGCACCCACTTGACAGCTGGAAGCTCGCAACTGTCTGAGTCCAGTTCCAGGGGATCTGACGTCCTCTCCTGGCCTCTGCAGGCACTGCAGACACAGGCTGCAATACGGGCAGAACACCCATGCACATAAAATTAACTAATTTAAAAAGACAAAAAAGGAGAGAGAAGCAGAGGAGGAGAAAAAGGAGGTGGTGAAGACGGTGGGAAGAGGAGGAGGTGGGAGGAGGAGGAGGAGGAGGAGGAGGAGGAGGAGGAGGAGGAAACAGTAACCATTGGGAAGGATCCTGAGGGCTGGATTTCAGAAGAAAGATGGTATATAAGCGTCTCCTCATAATGGAGATGGGTGAATCTAGATTGACGAGAGAGAAATCCAATCTAAAGAACATGTTTTCTGAACTATAAATCAACATTTCTTATACTGTGGGATTAGACTTCTTACTCTAAACACTGGGCTTCGGTAAAGAGACATCCATAGTGCTACTGGATGATGCAGAACACACATTTTCCTGTAATTTACAGTTTATTTTTGTCTAGAAGAAGTCATGTAATACAAGTTGTTATCCTTAAGAATTTTAGCTCCAGTGGGATTAGCTGGTTTCACATTCTTTTTCAGGAGTTTCATGAAACCCCCCTCTGAGTCCAATGGAGAAATTCTGTTTTAATCTCTTGATATTTTTCATTTGTGTATAACACATGGCCTCGAAGGCTAGAACAAAATCTTGGTAGTGAGACTGCTTTGCAAGAATAGTGAGCAGGGATGAACTTTAGTAACATGATGTGCGAGCAGGCCAAATGTGTCCTCTCAGCCAGGGGATTAACGGATTCTACTCTGGCATCTGAACGAAGATTACTCTCCTCACTGTCACCATTGTGTCACCATTGCTGACCCTTGTGTTAACAAATTTAACCCCGTAACACCCTCTCGCATTCCCGCATCGCCATGCTAACACGATTTATTCATCTGCTCATTTTCATGACACACAAACCGTCTTGCTCGCAGCACAGTGCTGCCCTGTATAGTTACAAAGTAAGTCAAGCACAGTGGTGCTGGAAAGCAACGTTCGACAGTCCAGGAGTACATGAAGCCAAGGCGGGTCCTGTTAGAGTGAAACTCAAGCTCATTGTTACGGAAAGGTGGCGGGGAACGTGAAGAGGCACAGTAGATAGTGAGTTAGAGTAAATACCAGGCTGGTTGTTACAGGCATCTGGGGGAGAACACAAAGAGGCACATTCTGCTAGGGAGTTCCGAGTCGCATCTGCCTGAGAAGCGGCGTGGTTTCAGGTTTGCCTTTTTCTTAGATGACAGTGTGTGTTTAGGATGAGACTGTCCTAGTTTGGTTTCTGTTGCCGCAATAAGCACCATGACCAAAAGCAACTTAGCTGCGGTTTATTTGGCTTGCTGATTATAGTCTATCGCCACGGGAAGCCAAGGCAGGAACTCTAAAAAGGAAGCCAGAAGCGGGGACTAAAGCGGAGACCATGGAGCTTGCAGAGGGTTGTGAGCTGCCACGTGGTGGTAGGAACTAAATCAGGGTCCTCTGGGAGAGCAGCAAGTGCTCCTAACTGCTGAGCCATTTCTCCAGCCCTGCTCATATAAACATACACTTACATTTATATCTGTATGTGTATATATATATATATATATATGTATAGTACATGTATTTTTTGCTGTTGATAATGTGCAATTTATCTCCTTTATTTTAATCTTTCTGGATGGTGAATTGGCAAAAAACACCACTACCAACCACACATATACAATAGTCCTAGTTTTGTGTGTTTCTGAGTGGGTGTTTAAGAACAATTCTGAATTATGACTTATGAATTAGATAATAAGGTATTAAAAAGTAAAGTTTAACTTGCTGCTCTATGATGCTAGTTTGTAAGAGCACATGAACTTATAGATCAACTATAAAATGTAAAAAGTAGTAAATACTCTTTATTCTATATCAGACATAAACCATGCTAAAATGCCTTTCAGTTGTAAAAGGCAGAATTTTTTGATACAGGGAATTCTAATTAAACTGGCATCACCAAGAACAGTGTAGACCAGTGGTTCTCAACCTTCCTAATGATGCAGTCCTTTAATATAGTTCTTCACGTTGTGGTGACCCCAAAAATGAAATTATTTCATTGCTACTTCATAACTATAACTTTGCTACAGTTATGAATTGTATGTAAGTATCTGATATGCAGGATATCTGATATGTGAAAGGATCGGTATCTAAAGGGTTGTGACCATTGGTTGAGAACTACTGGTGTAGACAGGGTTTTTTTTTATCTCTAACCATTGCTTATAAAGGACCAATGAACACGAAATGAAGCACAGGTCAGTCTTCTGCTTGGCTCTGCAACGGTGAGAGGATTTCCCCAGTATTTAAACACACACACACATACACACACACACACACACACACACACACACACACACACACACACGTCCAGTTCTACATATCTGACTGCAAAACCTTTCCGTGGGTTTTGAGCTGGCATCTCCTATTTTTGTGGAAAGTTGCACATTACCAAGTAAGTCCAGCCCTATTCTGAGACAGGAAGAGTAGTGCTGATGCTTACGGAATTGGAGTTGCTATCTTATAAA